GTTATTACTCACTTATTATTTGTTGTGTTATGCACAATAGCTGTAATTAATCCAAACAAATACTATAGCTTGCAGGCTGGAAGTTCTCTGCTCAGAGTAGCCAAAAACTCTTGTTTAGAAAAAACTTGACACTTTTCTAAATTGATTTTTTTTCCAGGTTACTCTCTATGTGCTGTTTGTTTGTTTGTTCATTTGTAACATTTCCTTGATATTTCATGCTGTCTCTCTATAGTTCTTGGGCTGGTTTCTTGTTTTAAATTGACTCCCTAATTTTGAAATGAGTTTGGAGAAAAGCTGCAAGAACAATATGAATAACTCCAGTGTAATCTTCACCCAGATTTCCCAAACATTCTCCTTAGATTATGAATTATTTACCATATCTACTTTCTCTCTGTCTTCCTTTCCCTCTTTCTCACACACATGTATAGAATTTGAGAGTTTGTAAACAAGATGTCTCATCGGAACAAAATGCTTTAGTGCGTATTTCCTAAAACACAGGAACATATCCTTACATAACCACAATACAACCAGCCAAATCATGAAATTAACGTTCCTGTAATACTAACACCTAATGCACAGACACCAGTAAAATTTCACCAATCATCCCAATAATGCTTTTTAAGAACAAAACAAAACAACAACGATGACAACAGCAACAGTAAAGAATTTGGCCCAGGAGTGCATATTGCATGTTGCATTGGCCTGTTTCATTGGATTTTTGTTTGCTGCTTAAGTGTCTCCATGCTGAAACTATTCCTCAGTCCCTCTTTTTCATTCATGATTTTGACATTTTAAAGATAACACACCAGCTCTTTGTAGAATATCCCTCATTTTAGGTTTGTCTAATATTTCGTGTGCTTGCAATGATGTTGTACATTTGAGGCAGAAATAACACAGAAGTGATGCTGTGTCCCTCTTGGTGCACATATCAGGAAGTATGGGATGCCTATTTGTCCATTACTGGCAATGTTACTTTGGCTGAGGTTGTGTCTGCCAGGTTTCTCCACAGTAGTTGCTTTTTTTTCTCATAGTAAATAATAAATATATTGTAAGGAGATACTTTGAGGCTATATGGCTATCTGCTTCCTCTTTTATATGTTTGGCCACCTGTTGATGAGTCTGGCCTGAATCAATTACTACTATGAGTTTGTCAAGTGATGATGTTCTTTTTTTTAATGTTTATATATTTTGAGATAATAAAATAAATTACAAAGTAAATAAATGTTTATTTTGAGAGAGAGAGAGAGAGTGGGAGTGGGGGAGGGGCAGAGAGAGAAAGAGAGAGAGAATCCCAAGCAGGCTCTGCGCTGTCAGCTCAGAGCCCAGTGTGGGGCTCAATCCCACAAAGTGTGAGATTGTGACCCGAGCCAAAATCAAGAGTCGGACTCTAAACCGACTGAGCCACCCAGGCACCCCTCAAATGGTGATATTCTTTAACATTCCTTCTACATTTGTTACTTGGTATTATAAAGGCTCTTCTTTCTTTACTATTTATTTTTTGAGTAACTCTTGGTAAATTGCCACTTCCCAGAGCCCCGCTAAATGTGCCCCTATTCTGAGATCCCCACATAGTCTAACAATCCAGCAATGAAAACTCTAACTCCTAGAAATCAGGGGGCTTCCAGTGCCCTTCTTTACGGGGCCACTCTGATCGGTGAGTGCCTGTGCAATGGCTTAAGTGTATAAAGCTGGAATATGATTCCTGCCTGTCCAAGAAATGGACAAATCAAGGGCAGTTTAACTACTTCAGGGGTCCTCAGTCTTAGATCCATATTGGAAACACCTGGAGAGTTCCATAATTGACTAATGCCTGGACTCCATGCCCATCACCCAGTTAATTCTAATATAGAGTCAAGACTGGGAGCCACTGTGTTAGTGGAGTAGTGAGGTGGGGGAGATTTCCTGTTCAGTCTCAGCTGACTCAGAAGTACCAGGAATTTGGACACTAATGAGAATTCTAGCCAACAGGAAAAAGAAACTCAGTGATCAGTTTCCCAAAGGAGAGAGAGAGACAGAGAGGGGCAAAGAGAAGAAGGGAGGAGAAAGAGGAAGAAGGAGAAAGAGGGAAAAGGAGAGAAGAGAAGGGAAGAAGGAGCAAAGAATGTGATAAAATATAGGCAATGGATAATGCCAGGTAAAAGATATAGGAGAATTCTTTCAACTTTTCTATTAATTAGAAATTGTATCAAAATATTCAACAAGAAAGACCAGAGCCACTGTAAACATTAACCTATGGTTCCTCCTCTCCTCACAAAACCACAGAAAAAAATAATGAGGGAATAAATTCTTATTTACTCTCCACATTTAATATGGGGTTTTGAGTAGAGGTGAGGTGGAAAAGGAGGTCTGACCTGACCTTAGAGACCCCTCAGGGATGAGGGATGACAGGCCCAAGTGACGCAATGTTGAGAAAGTTGGGGTCTTTCCCTTTCCACCTCAGTGCAGAGCATCTTTCCTCCTACAGTGTGTCATTAGACCATCAACAAACTGCAGTCACAAAGCACATGGATTGGAAAAAAGCCTTGATGTATCTAATCAAGTCCCTACCCTAAGTATGAAGGTTTTAAAACATTTCTCCAGAAATATTGGTCCAAGCGCTCTAATATATAATGGAATATATATATATATATATTATATATATATAATATGTATAATGGAATGCATCCCTTTTAACTATAGATATAACTATAGTTATAAGTATAACTATAGTTATAATATAGTTATAACTATAACTATAATCTATAACTATAGATTTAACTATAATATATATAATATATATAATGGAATGCATCCCTTTTAACTATAGAAATCATTCTCTGTAGTGCTGGAGCCCAGCACTTGGGGGAGGAATGCTCAGTGGCACTGGGGAAAGGTCAGAGGTGGATAGTTGAGCCCACGGGGAAAATGGCCATTGAGATGCTTGTAGAAACTTAAGAACAGACCCAAAAGGGCAGAGAGGGTGCCTTTCCCATTTTCCATTCATTTCAGTAGCTCCTGTTCTAACCTGATGTCAAGCACACAGATGGTGCTCAGGGAATATGTGCATGATCACAAAATGCTGAAGTCAGGAGATGGGGAGAAAAGTAAAACAAAAGAAGGAAGGCTAAATAGGAACAAGAAATTCAAAGAAGCACAAAAGAAAGCAGAGGTGCCTGGGAACTGCACTGGGCCACGAGCTGGGCAAAGGGAGCCAGTGGGAGATTCTGGCTCAGAACGTTGGGGTAGTTGCCCAGCTGGCTTGAACCTGTCAAAGTAGACCTGAGAGTTGGCTTCTGAAACCCAGCCAGAAGCGGTGCTTGGTTTTTGTTTTAACCTAGAAGATTGGGGTTGAAAGAATTTGCTTGGGAGCCTTGGAGTAATACAGATTGGAATAGAAATGTCAGATTTGACAAAACAAGGAGAAAAGTGGCCTAGTTGTTCTGTGTTTTTATCTATACCTCATCTTTATCTGTGTGTTCCCTCATGCTGTGGCAAGTCATTTGTGTACTTCACACAGCTACCAAATGGCATCAACCATGTTTTAGAATCAAAAGGAAATCCTTCATTTCCCTTGGATGGTGGGACCACAGAGATACTCAACAGTGAACTCACACAGCCCTCTGCTTCTGGTGAGCCTAGTTTTTTCCATAATCATAAACTTTGACAATTCTTTTTGATTTAAGGACACCAACTCCCTCTGCTCACACATCATGAGGCCCAGAAGTGACCCCAAGCATTGAAAATGTCCAGTACTGAGATTGCAGGAACAGAATGTGAACACTGAATATTCTGCATAACCTTAGGATGGAGCCTCCAGAATTCTCCAGAAGAAGTGACAGTAAAGGTAACGGGCTCGTTATCGCGCATACACCTCACCAATCCCAGAGGTTGCTGTGCCAGGAAGCAGGGCTATAATGTGAGATCAAGACTTGGCTCTTCGAGCAGTAGTCAACAATTTATGCAGGCCAGATCCCTGGTTTCTCAGGGATTAAGATCCCTCTAAACACACTGGGATAGCCAGAGTAGGGGTCCCTTCCAGAGCACATGAACAAAGAACAAGGCAATTCCTATTGTAGCATGGTGACTTTAAATCTCAAAGGACACGGCTCTACAGAGATTATTCTTAAGCTTAGAAGACAGAAATGTCCCCAGAAGCTCAGAGCAGCCACCACCAATAAACCTTTCCTGTCAACTGTGGTTCCAAATTGCAGTCTGACTCCACAAACCATTTGTGCCTACTCCCTTCTGTGTCCATGTGAACCTTTTTGACATGCCCTGGGCTCCAGAGCTAAGGACTACTCCTCTCCTCATTGGCCTTGACCTCTTTTCAGAGCCAAATTCAGCCTTCCTGGTTAGTTAGGCTCTTGACACCTAGCAATCTGAGTGTTGACAATGTGACATTTGGTGGGATAAAGATCAACTGATAATAGAGGCACAAGCGAGGAGAGCAAGGACTGCATTAGATGTTGCATTTGGGACAACCAGGTCCTTAAATGTCCTCCAGGTGCTTTATACTGAGCCATTCAAGAGACCTCCCAGCTGCCTCTCCTGGACCAAAATCTCAAAGGAAGGAGATGGCAACAGGAAGCAAGTTCAGTTCTATTTAATCTGATGTCTTGAGTTTTGTCCCTTATAAACAGAGCCTCTCCCTTTCCCACCAATCATACATGTGGCTTCCTGCCTCTGACTCATAGGGAAGGTGAGGCAAAAAATGCCATAAGAAAAGAGAAACAGGAGCCCTCTTTAGGGTCAGCATGGGTAGAGGAGGGTTTACAGGGCTCTCCCTCTGCATTCAAGCTCCCACCTCCCCAAATGGTATCCCCTTGGGTAAGCTGGAGCATCAAACTTCTCAGAGAGTGGTGCACACCCAACCTTGAATCCTTACTTTGTCAGAAAACATATGGTCTCAAATATGGACCTTTTTGGTCCCCAAAAGGATGAATTGTATCCCTAGGCATGGAAGAGTCTTTACAGAATAAGTGCAATCCCCAGGCCCACGATGTCCTCAGGCCTGGGTCATGGGAAGGGGCAACAGATGGGGGGCTTTGGAGAGCCCAAGCAAAGCAGAATTTTTGTATTTGGTAATAAGGGGAGGGCTGAGCAGAGAGGAACCTGAGTATTTGACATAAGGAGATAGTATCAGACTCCAACCTGCAGGGTGGCAAGAAGCCAAGAAAGAGCCCCCTGCCCAAATAAGAGGGCAGCCAGAGGGAGGCACCTCAGGGTAGCAGTGCTGGAGCCTGAGAGGGCAATTGGTGCAGCCCTGAAGCCTGCAGGGGTTTTGTCCTGGGGCTCCACTTTGCCTCCGGAGGACTCCAAGCAGGGTCCCCGAGGAGCACGGATAATTTCTGGAATCCAGCCTGTTGTGTTTTCCACTACCTCCTGTAGGAGAAGGAAAATGGGGGGAAATGGGTAAGGGCAGAAGCTTCTCCCACCCTCATTTCCTTTCTTCTGCACTTACTTAGTGATCCCCAGTCCTTGCAGCCTCACAAACCAACTGGGATATTCCAACAACCCCACAATCCAGAACAGCACCAGCCCATCTCTCTGCTCCCCAGCCCTTGCTTCCCTGACCCAGTGTTCTTACCACTGCCATTCACCTACCTCCTTCTTTCTTTTCCTGGCTTTGTCCAACACCATTCCACCCCCCTCCATCCCTAACCCTGAGAGGGTGGTGTCTCTTGGAACACTCACATCAATGGTCTTTATTATCACTGTCTGCTGGGCCTCCTTGCAGGCTTTCTCAGCCTTCTTAATGTTCTCTGGGGTCCATTCAACATTGTTCATGGCCATCATGCCCTCCATGGAACTGCCATGGGCAAGGGGAACACACAATAAGATAGGGTCAACTTAAAGCTTTGACAAAATAGCCTCACTTTTGTTAGCATAATTTCTAGGTCAGCATAAACCAAAAAGAATGCCTCATGATTTAATATGACCACGATGAATTTGGCAGAAGGAAAAATATCAAAACTCAGAGATGAGCATTTTTTAAGTGAAAAAGAGAAACTCTTGACTCTTTAAAAAGTGGTTCTTAATCTGAGGGCCATGAAGTTCAAGAAAGTCGATGGAGTGACTTCAGGGAACCTATAAATGCCCTGAAATAGTATGTGAAATGTGTGTGTCTGCACAGATGTGCATTTTCCTTGGAAAGGATGATCAGAACTTTCATTAGAATCTCAGAGACAACCCTTACCCCTAAATAATTAGGGGTCACTACTTGAAAGTAAACAGTCTTTGACTGTCAGGTAGCGCATGAGAAAAAGGCAAAGAATTTGTACATAAGTGATCTAACTTTTAGAGGTCAGTTCTTATCTGCTTTTCTGAATGACCTCACTAATATGGAAAAATCTTCTATCTTCCATCAGAGCTTCAAGAGTCAGACGCTGACAGAAGCAGGCATTAAGAAGGCAGGGGCTAACCAGGGAGCCTGCTGAAGAATCCTAACTCACTAGTGTAGGGGGTAGTATGTGGTCTTCTTTTTCCTCCTTCCTCGTCCTCCCCAAGACCCCTCCCACACACAACTGAAGGTCTTATCTTCCAGGATGACTCACTCTGATACCTCCTCCCCCAGCTCATGGGCCACGTGGATGATGTCAGGGTACCCCATGCAGCTGGAGATGTTGTTTCGGGGATAGTAGAAGAGGAAGATGAGGCACATCTCATTAATGGTGCTGGGACCCCCCTGGAGAAGAAAAGAGAGCCAGAAATGGAACAGAAAGATACAAAGGCAAGCAGAGAGAAGGGAACAAGGCAGGCAGAAAATAGGTTATGTGTCATTCTACCAATGATTCTGTTTTCCTTTTCCCTTAGCCTGCAACGAGCTCACTGAGTGTTAATTACTACTTCTTAGCTACCCTTTCCTTTTCTGATTGGTGGGCATTCATTGATGTTATTTTCAAAGAAATATGCCATATATCTGCCCTATCCACTACATTTCCACAGCCACTGCTCTGGTTTGAGAAGATGGTTGAGAAGATGAGAGAAGATACTGAGTTTCCCAAAAAAAGCCACTCCCTTCTGAGCTCTCCATCTCTATGTGTCTAAAGCAAGACCCATTCAAATATATCACATGTTCAGTTCACTGTAGTAGGACCTTATGGTTTTTCCCTGTGAAGCCCCTAGTGCATTTTCCCCATCTGTCTCTTACAGTATATATTACTTTCTACTTTGCATCATAGTATATATGGCTATAGTTTCTTCCTCAATAGCACACAACCCCTTAGGAATCCTATAAACACTGAAACTACTCTTGATGTACAAATGGCTGGGTTTCCTTGTGACCATAAGAACAATAGCTAACTCATAGGGTGCCTGGGTGGCTCAGTTGGTTAGGCAGCTGATCTTGATTTTGGCTCTGGTCTCACGGTTCATGGGTTCGAGACCCCTGTTGGGCTCTGTGCTGACGGCTCAGGGCCTGCTTGGGATTCTCTGTCTCCTTCTCTCTCTCGGTGCCCCTCCACCTCCTCTCTTTCTCTCTCTCTCTTTCTCTCAATAAATAAAATTTTAAAAACCTTAAGAAAAAAAGAATAATAGCTAAGTCTAATTGAACATCTACTATAAGTCAGGCAATGATCTAGATGTTTTATTTATTTTTTTAATTTTTATTTATTTTGAGGCAGAGAGAGGCAGAGTATGAGTGGGGAGGAGCAGAGAGAGAGGGAGCCTCAGAATCCAAAGCAGAATCCAGGCTCTGAGCTGTCAGCACAAAGCCCGACATGGGGCTCAAACCCATGAACTGTGAAATCATGACCAAGGCGAAGTCGGACACTTAGCCGACTGAGCCACCCGGGTGCCCCATTGTTTTACATATGTTAATCGACTCTCACAACAATATTATTAGATAGTATTGTTAGTTCTTATATGAATTAAGAAACTGAGGCACAAAGAGATTGAATAACTTGCGTAAGGTTAGAAAACTACTAATAGTTGTGTTGGCATTCAAACCCAGGCAAAGAGACCAAGCTCTTGGTCGCTATAACATGCTGTATGTCCATTGTCTTAGTGGGTCATTGACACCAGATAATAGGGAATCCTTGTACCCATCTTAAAATCACTGTGATGTGAGAGCATGAAAAGCCCCATGTAAATAATATCATTGGAGGAAGAAAGGGGCTTCAGCTGGAACAATCAGTCACTTAACAGCCAAGGCCAGGGGTGGGGTCTATTCTGAGGCTACTGTCCTTGACCATGGTGGGGAGGGAGGTACTCACAAAAGTCAAGGAGTCCCGGTCCAGCGTCTGGTAATGACACTCCACCAGCAACTCATCTCCCTATTCAGAGTGAAACATGAAGGACCCCTTCAGACCCATTCTGTGTCTTTCAAGACACAGAAGGACTGCTACTGCCTGAGAACCCCCTTGGCTGACAGGGATGAGCTCTGATCCCGCCTCCCCAGCCTGTCTCCAGTCACACCTCCCTGCAGGCTCCCACCTGTTTAATCTCCATTCGATAAGGTAAATCTCGAGTCTCCTGCAGATTGAAGTCGTAGAAATCATCTTTGCAGATTATTCGGAGTTGTGTTCCATTTCTAGAGGGAACAAAGCAGTGTAATGTGCTCATACTGTGGGCAAAGATTTACCGTAAAACAAAAAATCTCCTCCTTCCACAGCTTTATTCCGGTCACCTCTATTCTATGGGTAATTTTAGCTCCTCCTTACTCCCAACCAAGCATAACCTTAGGCTGCAGAATAAGTAACTATTCTCACATTTGTTCCCACATGCAGATGGGAAAGCTTCAAGTCCATGTCTTCCCTTACCTGTATTGCACGGCCTGCAGAGCACGGCCAGCCAGGTGGGTGTGGAGCAGGTAGCCATATACCTGTATGTCAGGCACTGGGACCCCATTCATCTGTGTCAGGGAGGAGAAGACACATCTGATTTGCTAAGAACTCTCATCTTGCCCTATTCCTTGATTTTTCCCCGTTAATATTTGACATCTTCCTCCTATGACTGACACGAGCCCCTTTAGTTCTTACTGGGCCCTCCTGGACCCTCTTCCTGCCCCACCCCCCAGCCCCAAAGCCCTGACTCCTTCCTTCCCTTGCATGATCCAGATTATAGGTTTTCCTGAACATAGGTAGCTATTCTCCCGGTCCAGGGCTCAGGCTGTGTGTGCTCATGGACCAGCCCAGATCTGTGACGGGAAACAAGGAACCTTGGGGAGGATGTGCCTCCCAGCTTCACCTCCTCAAACTTCTCCGTCTTACACAGCCCATAGGACAGGAAGGACTCCGCGCCTGGGGGTATGAAGTGGATGGGGAAAGTGAAGAAACCCAGCTGGAGGACTCCCATGTCGTATTTGCGCAGCTTTGCCGTGTAGTATAATCGGATGCCTGAGGAGTCGTACACACCTGGTGCAGAATGGAAGAATCACAGAAGGTAAGAGAGCTGGTCACCATGTGGGAGCAAGAGGCCCAGGAAAGACAGGGCAGGGATGTGGCCAAAAGGAGCCAACGTGCATCCCGCAGCACCTTCCCAACACCTCAAGGAATCAGCCAGGCACACCAGTTCTTCTTCTATAAATGCTCCAGATGCTCACCCGGAACGTTGTGAAAATTGCTGTAATGAATCTCCAATCGGATCCACTGGGGGTCTAAGGGAGTCCCAATAGAGACACCCACATCATCTGGAAACTGGTAACTCTGTTGGATGGAGGAAGATTTGGCAGCGGGAAGGGCTTGGTGCTAGGTGCAGGGACCAGCACCTGCCCATGTTTTATGGCCCTCATCCCAGACCTCCCCCATTTCCTGGCCTTCCATCAGTCCAGCAATCCCAGTAGCCTGACAACATGCACACACTTAGCCACCTATTTCCCTCATCACAAGACTCACTGTGCCCCCGACAGCCCAGCCCACGATGACCTGCGAGCAGAGGGAGAAGGCAGGGTCAGCCCCGTAGCAGTCACTGATGCCCGTGGGGAGAACACTGGCATTGCCACAGGCATAAACCAGGATGTGATGCACCATCGTCTGGTTGTGCTTGAGCAGCTTGGGCTCAAACTGGGTGAGGGAAGGAAGGCAGATCAGAGACAAGATCTTCTATGTCAAGTCCTATTTCTCCCATCCCTTTGCCCCAAAGAAAACTATACCCATTTCCCACTTCTCTTTCTCTTTCTTTTCTATTTGCTCTCTGTATTTTTGTCCCCAACCCATCACTTATCCCGACTCTGTCTGATTTCTCTCTCAGCCTCCATCCTTTTAAAGTCCTTCCCTGAGTGCACAACATGCCAAGTCTGGCAGAGAATATCCTCATGACTTCTGACTTTCCCTTAGTAATCTCACTAGTCTACAATATCTGAGCACATGCCTGATTGGATTCGCCTCTTAAAGAAAAAAATTGGCTCCCACACATTTGCTAGTTATTGTAAGATCAAAACTTGAAATCACTCAACTATGAAATCAGGTGGCCAAGTTGAAGTTCCCTCTAGCCAGACTTCATGGACCTGACAGCCCTTGGCCATGACCCCCAGCCTGAACTTCCTCCTGGACTATGAGCACAATTCTAGGCCCAATGTGGGGCTTGTATTTTGCCCTTCGGAAACACTAATTTGTTACCTTCATCAAAATCTCTGCTGCATTGTGGGACTCAAATAGAACAGTGTTGGGCTCAAGAAATCACGAAACTACCACCTCCACCAAATCTGGCCTGGCCTCCCTGTGCTCCCAGCTACTTCTCTCCAGCTTCCTCTCAGCAGTTTTCTGAACATCATCCTTCCAGAGCTGGCTGTGCTCACGGCGCTGCTCAACTGCCTTACCAACATCTGGTTCGCCCTACCTTGAAGATGTGATGCTTCTTGCTGACGATGGGGAGAGGGAGGAAGGTGCAGGCATATGTGGTGTCATCCTCTGGAATGAGAAACTGGAGAAGGACACACAGAGGCTGAGCTGGTTGGGAAATGAGGCTCTCAGAGAAGCCGGGGAAGGGACAGGCCAGCTTGGCAGTCCTCAGCGGACTGGGGAAGTCATAGCAATCTCAATTCAAGGAATGTACTGAGTATTGGGTGCAAGAGGAGGGTCATGATTGAGTGGGAAGGGGGCTGGGAGATGGCTGGGTGGGGTGGAGGGCTCTTACATCAGTGAGTTCCAAGTCATGGATGATGGTGTCCTCAGGGACGTCAAGGTCATCAGGGTGGACTATTTGTAGCAGGAAGATGGACTTGACAAAAGTACGGTCCCGATCCAGCTTCAGAGTGTCATCCAGGCCATAGGCAGCCAGAACCCTTATTGTGTCACTCTGGGGGTGTGATTGGCATTGAGGTGCTTCTGCCCGTGAGTAGCACTTTGCCCATACCCACACCCAAGGACTGATACAAGCCACTTGCTCACATCTACACAGTGGAATGGAAGGAGCTTCAGACTGGGGATCGAAACCATCGGGTTCTAGTTCTACCTCAGAGGCCAACTTGCTGGAAATAAAAGCAAGTCACATTCCCTCTCAATGCTTGTATCCACATCTGACAAGTGACACACTAAAGTTCAGTAAAATCAAGCAAGGTTCTTGGATAGGGGAAGCCAGGGGAGGGTGGGGTGGATGCTGAATCAGTGGGAAATCAATCCCCTTGTAGAGGGCTTGTGAATTTGGGGAGGGACATGACTGGGGAGGTGCCTGGAAAGGCGCAGAGGGACAGAACCCCTGGGAACTGTGCTTGCCACCTGAGATACGGGCACATTCCGGATGGGGAGTGACTCTGCCTACCCAGAAGGAAAAGCTGCTTGTAATCGAATGCTTCCCTCCCCTTCCTATTTTACCGTAATGTCTTGGTCGTGGGCATCACAGGAGCGGAAGGGCCTGGAGAAGCGCATGGTGGTGTAGACAGCGTCTTCTGTCAGCCCCTGCAGCTCAGCATCCTGGCTCCCGTCCTCCTCCAGGGTGTCTTCATCCACCAGGTGCTGATCCTGGGGTCCAGTGAAGGTCAAAGAGTAAGAACAGGAAACTCCAGTGGTCATGACTGTGGAGCGGCTAGTGACCCTTTAGCTCCCCCAAGGTACTAAGTTAGCAGAACCCAGGTCTTCTTCATTTTGTAGTTTGCTCCAGGGACAGAGCATGGCATCAAAGCGGATCCTCAGGCAGAGGGATGAACAAACTCTGATGGAATTTCGCCAGCTGACCCTGATTTACTTCTCCCGTTCCAAATCGCAAGTCCATAAATCCTAGTGTTCCTGCATCTCTAGCCCGTGAAAAGTCACATACCCTCTGGACTCTCAATGCTATCTGTCCTCTCTTGTGGCTCATAACATTGACCCTTCCCCATACAAATGCAGTTCAGATGGGTGAAGTTGGGAGATGGGTGAGTTGCTTCTTCATCTGTAAAATAGGGTCATAATCACCCACCTCATAGTGAGGCTGTGAGGTTTAACAAGCAAAGATTGTGGAACAATGCCTGGTTAATCAAAAGTACGTTACAATTTTTTTTTAACATTTATTCATTTTTGAGACAGAGCATGAACGGGGGAAGGTCAGAGAGAGAGGGAGACACAGAATCCGAAACAGGCCCCAGGCTCTGAGCTGTCAGCACAGAGCCCGACGCGGGGCTTGAACTCACAGACTGTGAGATCGTGACCTGAGCCGAAGTCGGACGTCCAACCGACTGAGCCACCCAGGTGCCCCAAAAGTACATTACAATTTTAAGCTATTACTATGGTAGCTGCTGCTGTGTTTATTAGACTATTTTATGTTGTGGTCCACCCAACTGAGCTTAATAGAAGCTAAGGCTGGAGACTGCTTCAAACAGCGTTGACTCTCCCTCATTGTCCTGCTTTTAGTCATGCAGGACCCTCTCTCAGCACAGTGGTTTCACTCCTTAGCACCTTAGGGACACGCAGTCTGGAAGACCTAGTTTGAAACTCTCCAGTGGACCATTTCTACAGGGAGAGGTCAGAAGTCAGCTGGTGTTCTGGGCGTGTGCCTGGATAAGTTTGGAAAATCTGGATCCTTCCTGGACTCAGAGTCATCCTCAACCCAGCAAGAGACCCTCATCCTTGGAAGGGAGTCACCCTCAGACTTACCGAGAAATAGACATTGCCATCAGGCAGGACTCCTCCAACCACCAGATCGCTCCCCACTCTGGTGTAGCGATTTGTGACACCCAAGCCCACCCAGCCGGCTGTCCGGACCTGGAGCTCAAACGTGATGATCTCAGCCTCAAGGTCAAAGTCCCAGCGCAGGAAAATGACATTGGAAGGATCTAGGAACCTGGAATAACGCAGGCGAGATGTGGGGCCAAAGCGTTTGCCTTGGAAGAGGGCTGCCAGAGTCATAAGTAGGAGAAGCCTGAAGAGAAGGGCACAAGTCATGGCTCCTGGGGTCTGGAGCATCTCTCCTACAGATGGACACTCAAGAAGTATGGATTTATATGTGCCTCTACCTGTGCTGGCACTGTGCCACAGGGGAGGGACAGACTGGGGCTCTTCTGATCTGATTATCCCCTGGATTCCAAGTGGTGCCACTTACATAACCCTGGAGGTTATGAGGTGTGAGGTGGTCAGAGAGGGTACAGAGCAGATTGCTCTTGCCCTGGAGCAGAGACCTAACATGAAAATCTCAGGAGTGGGTCATTTAGACTCTTCCACCCCGACCCCATGCGAGGGCCCTGCCAGTGGGGACCCTACAGAATCAAGGGGGTTGGGTTTCTCCCTGTCTCTCCTCCCTCACCTTTCTTTCTCCCTTTCTGCACCTCTGCCCCATCCCTATATCCTTGGATGTCCTTACTGAGCACCCTGCCCTCTGGCACCTGTCCCCCAACCCAGTTTTTATGGGCATTTTTCTATATCTGGAATTGGTGCATAGCCGGGGGTGGGGGCAGGACTGATTACATGCAGCAGAGGAAGGAGAGAAGTTTTTGAGGGGGTGTTTGGGGAAGGCTACGATTTCCATCTCCCGGAGGAGTCTTTGCTACTAATCCCTGGAAGGACACATAGAGGTGAAGGAACCATAATCAGCTTTCCAGATGGGTGAGTCTGAGGCAGTCTTGAGTTTCTGCACATTCCTGGGGAGCAGCAGGGAGGAGGAGGAGAGGAAGGAAAGAAGAGGGAGAGATAGGGGGATAAATGTAAACTGGCCTTTGGGATGTTTGGTGTTTTCCCTTCCTTCCATGAATTGCCTGCCAGAGAAGTCACATTTAGTTGACTCTCCACTAGGGAGCTTTGGTATTCAGGCAATAAAGACACAGAAGGAGTGTTAGAATATTAGGACACCAGATTTACTGAGAAATAGACACTACTGCCAGGCAATGAATTTTAGAAAAAGGAATTTTAGTGAAAAGGAATTTTAGATGCACTTAATTTTTCAAGGATTGCAATCCACTTAATTTTCAATGAGGAAAGGGAAATACCAAGAGGTAACATGAGGAGTGCCTGACCCCCCATCCAGTCAGAGGCAGAGCTAACACAAGAACACGGGGGCTCTGCCCCCAGGCCAGTGCCCGTTCCATTATTTGCTTAGGTTACAGACACCCACAAGGCACCCAGCCACCTGCCATGCCTTCCCCACCGTGGCTGGCCCTGGTGGAAGGGGTTATCATCTACTGGTTGCTTCTTAGGGAGGGGACCCACATCTCACTCTATTTCCAGAGTTCTTTCTGCCCAAGCTATGACACAGCTGGGCCTGAGCCAGAAATCACCTCACTGACCCCCAGCGTCCTTCCTGCATCAGGCAATGGAGAGGCTCTGAAAAATTAACAAGGACATGCGTCCAGCGGGCATCTGCCAGCACAGAAATTAGACCACACATCACACAGGAAGTCAGCTCGGAAGTGGGTAGGAGCTGGGGCATCTACTTACGCCTCCGTCTGGGACATGCATGTTCTTTTTAGTATCAATTAAGTTCATCAAAGCTGGTATGGACCCAGCTGGGGTGGTTGGCAGGCTCTGTGAGCACCTGAGTTGGAACTGGGGTGCAGTGGGAGAAGAAAACCCGTTTCCCATGCCTTTTCTGAGAGAGGGGAGATTGCTGGCAGTCATCTGGAAGGAAGAGGTTTACCTTGGCCCAGGATGGGAGCAGGGCCAAGACCAGAGGAGGAGCCTTGGGACGCAATGACCTTGAGGAGCAGGAATCCAGGGAGGAGATAACAGGAGTATCAGAGACATTCTGATCCCAATCGCATTTGGGGATTAAGGCTAAGGGAGGGAGTGGCAGGGAGACAGGCAGCCTGCCCTATAAACCAAGATGGGGCCAGGATCCCTTATCCTGCAATCTGTCTACCGGCCAGAGAGCCTGCCTCAGGGAGAAAGCTGGGAGCCCACGCCTGCAGCTCACGGTTTCTGTTCCTGGTTTCCTTCTGGCCACCCACTGGCCTTTTCTCTCCCTGTTCACCTGTTCCCCCAGTTATGGTTTGCACCCTCTCCCAGCCCCCTTCCCTTCTACCCTCTGATCCCCAGAGCAACTCTCTCCCAGAATAAACTCAGAATGCAGTGCACGTGGCTTGCAAAGTGAGGACGTCTCTGTCCTGGCACGTACATATTTCTGGTATTCAAGATGTGTGATTTGGGCATTCTTCCCAGAGCTTCATCCCTCTCCGTCCCTGGAGAGATGAGGTTGGGAACAGGCAGAACAGCGAAAGGCAAAAGGAGACCAGCACATGTTACTGAGAATGGAGGGCGATTGATATTTTCTTTACAATTAGATGATGCAAATTTGAAATAGTCAGATATATAAAATATTAATGAACTTGTTTTATACACAAAATTGTACATAATGAAAATGTGGGGTTTTTTTTAAATGAACAACCACACAATTTTGAAGTCATCGCGCCAACAATTATAAACCGTATTATGCTGTCACCACATGGCATCACTAACCGTTATCCTTTGCCAGAATCATGGGAACCATATTGTTGTAAGTATTTACACCTGAGCAGATTAACAAAATTAGTGAATCTGGGAGGCGCAAAGCCCCAGGACACCAGGGCACAGCTGTTCCCTGACGTGCATTCTCCCAGGTGGTGGGTCTGCGGTCCTGTCGTGCTCCAGCTGTCTTCTTCATTCATCAAGTGTCTGTGACAGCGCAGACACCTCATTGGGAACACCGACGTGAATATGGTGCAGTCCCAGGTCTTGAAATTGTAAAGTTCAGTTGCTAGATCCCTATGTGTCCCCTTACTTTTGTCCATAAAATTCTGAGGGGGAAGAGAAGGTAGGTATGGACCTTTACATCTGATTTCCCAGATCGCTGATTTCCAAACTTTCTGAAAAAACAAGGCCTCTTACCACTGTTGAAAAGTTACAAGATCTTGTGATCTTTTTTTTTTATTTAAAAAAAATTTTTTTTCAACGTTTATTTATTTTTGGGACAGAGAGAGACAGAGCATGAACGGGCGAGGGGCAGAGAGAGAGGGAGACACAGAATCGGAAACAGGCTCCAGGCTCCGAGCCATCAGCCCAGAGCCTGACGCGGGGCTCGAACTCACGGACCGCGAGATCGTGACCTGGCTGAAGTCGGACGCTTAACCGACTGCGCCACCCAGGCACCCCACAAGATCTTGTGATCTTAATCTCAGCTGATGACTGAGAGAGAAGGAGATGTAAACGCTATTAATTCTGTGAAATTGGAATTGAATTGGTAGTTGACCATGGCGGTGACAGGAGTCAACTCTAAGTGCTCAGTCTGTGCCAAACTCTATTCCAAGAATTTTTCATGTATTAATCTATTTACTCCTATAAAGTCGCCTTCATAATTATCTCCATCTTACAGAGGGAGAAACACTCCCAAGGCCACCTGCTAGGTAGGGCCGGTGCTGTGAGTTGTCAGGAAGATGTAACTGAAAATCAAAGCTCCTCCCGATTCAGAAAAAACTCTCCCCAAAAGTAGGAGAGAAAGAAAGCAGTCTCATTACTGAATAAGCATTAAACCGATGTGATACACATCCCAGGCTTTTGTTAAGGGGTTGCAAAGACAGACAGAAATCCCGGCCTTTTATATAGGTAATCAGATACAACCCATTACATAAATGTTCTCGAGATAAACTATAGCCAGACCTCAAATAAGAGACCGGGACAGGACTTTTGTTAACCCACAGTTCATCTTACAGTCACTTGGTGACTGGGGGTGTCCATCTGCATTTGCTAATTTGCTTTACCCCAAGGCAAAGTAACTTGCCATATATTTAGGACAGGGAATCGTTTTGCAACTTAGCGGGAGGCATCTACTCTAAATTTAGTTAGGCTCATCCTGATACTTGTATTTCAAAGAGAGGATGGCGGGACCTTGCGAAAAACATTTCTGGGTGATTTACACACATTTCAAAGAAACAGAGAAAGAACTTAAAATTACAAGTTTTCTGGAGAGAGGGAAGATGGCGGCGTAGGAGGACGCTGGGCTCACCGCGCGTCCTGCTGATCACTTAGATTCCACCTACACCTGCCTAAATAACCCAGAAAACCACCAGAGGATTAGCAGAACGGAGTCGCCGGAGCCAAGCGCAGACGAGAGGCCCACGGAAGAGGGTAGGAAGGGCGGCGAGGCGGTGCGCGCTCCACGGACTGGCGGGAGGGAGCCGGGGCGGAGGGGCGGCTCGCAGCCAAGCAGAGCCCCCAAGTCTGGCTTGCAAAAAGCGGAGGGGCCTGACGGACTGTGTTCCGACAGCAAGCGCGACTTAGCGGCTGGGAGGTCATAAGTTAACAGCTCTGCTCAGAAAGCGGGAAGGCTGGAGGACAAAGGGAAGGAAAGCTGCTGAGCCCCCTGACGACAGAGCTCAGTTTGGTGGGGAACAAAGGCGCTCGCCAGTGCCATCTCCCCCGCCCATCCCCCAGCCAAAATCCCAAAGAGAACCAGTTCGTGCCAGGGAACTTGCTCGCTCCGCTCAAACACCCAACTCTGCGCTTCTGCGGAGCCAAACCTCCGGCAGCGGATCTGACTCCCTCCTGCTGCCACAGGGCCCCTCCTGAAGTGGATCACCTAAGGAGAAGCAAGCTAAGCCTGCCCCTCCTGCCCCTGTGCACCTTGCCTACCTACCCCAGCTAAGACGCCAGATCCCCAGCATCACAAGCCTGGCAGTGTGCAAGTACCCAGACAGGCCACCCCACCCCACAGTGAATCCCGCCCCTAGGAGAGGGGAAGAGAAGGCACGCACCAGTCTGACTGTGGCCCCAGCGGTGGGCTGGGGGCAGACATCAGGTCTGACTGCGGCTCCGCCCACCAACTCCAGTTATACACCACAGCACAGGGGAAGTGCCCTGCAGGTCCTCACCACGCCAGGGACTGTCCAAAATGACCAAGCGGAAGAATTCCCCTCAGAAGAATCTCCAGGAAATAACAACAGCTAATGAGCTGATCAAAAAGGATTTAAATAATATAACAG